TTTGCCAGAACATCTTTGATGCTGCCCGGTAGTCCCTCTCCAAACTCATCCAATGCCCCGGGCTTTTGCTTCAGCGACTGCTATTGCTGCCACCCTCTTGGCAAGCTGGTACTTCTCAATCAAGATGGGAGACCTTTTTCCGAGCAAAGCTAGGAAAGCCTCCTTCAGCTTGACAGCTTCCCTCACCACTGGTGTCCACTAGCGGGTCCTAGGGTTGCCGCCATGACAGGCACCAACTGCCTTCAGGCCACAGCTTTTCACAGCTGCATAAACAATCGAAGTCCTGAACATTGTTCACTCGGACTCAATGTCCATGACCTCGCCTGGAGTGTAGGAGAAGTTTTCCCGGAGGTGGAAGTTGAAATATTTCTGCACTGGGTCTTCTGCCAGACATTCCCAGAAGACCCGCACTATTCGTTTGGGCCTTCCACGTCTATCTGGTTGGTGCCCCAAGCGTCGTATCCAACTTACCACCAGGTGGTAATCAGTTGACAGCTCTACCCCTCTCTGCTCCTGAGTGTCCAGTTATACATTGTTATTCTTGGAAATGTTTACTGCAAGTGACGTGTTAAACCAAACAAATATGTTACTCCGGTGAATCTGAAATCAAACGTGTTCGCCTCTACAGTACAGTATATCTTTGCAACAGTGGGAAGAGTTTGATTGATGTTGATTGGCGTGGGTCTGCTGTCCCTTAGTGGGTAGTCTTCTGTGTTATCAATGTGCATGCGCATCGATCGGTTGATCGTTCGTATTTGTTCTTAAATTATACTGATACGAGGTCCTGAATTTTGTTGTTGTAAATTCAGGACCTTCTAATGGATGGTAGCTATACCAAAATCAATAGAGATCCTACCAACCGCCTGGTTACGAAAACCAACAATGTCATCACTAACCCGACTTCTCCAATCGAACCAACCAAGTTGCTCTCTCTAAAACCTTCTGCTGCTAGACCACCCAGATTGTATGGCCGTCCAAAAATCCATAAAGAAGGTACACCGCTCCGTCCCATCGTCTCACTGTTAACTCACCCACCTACAAACTGGCCCGATTTCTGTCTGAGACCTTGCTTCCATTCACGGGCAAGACCACCTCAGCTGTACTTAACTCAGCTCACTTGGTTTCTCTAATCAAAGGCATTTCACTGTTTCCAGATTATTTGCTTGTCAGTTTCGATGTAGTCTCTCTGTTCACCAAGGTACCTGTACCTGACACCATAGCAATCATTGAAGACTTGGTCCAACAGGGACTGAATTCTGACGTGCCAACTTTGATGAGGCACTGCCTTACCAACACTTCACCTGAAATGGTACATTCTACAAACAAGAAGAGGGTACCCCAATGGGTTCTCCCTTATCGCCAGTGGTAGTGGATGTTTTCATGGATAAATTTGAGACAGATGCCATCCAGACATCCACCCTACACCCTTCCTTGTGGAAGAAATACGGAGATGACACGTTCGTCATCTGGCCACATGGCCAGCCAGCACTAAACCAATTCTACAACCACATCAATTCCATACACGCAGCCATCAAATTCACCATGGAAGTGGAAAAGGATGGCAAGTTACCATTCCTGGATGTTTTGATCGAGAAGAGACCTGATGGCTCGTTGGGACATTCTGTCTACAGCAAAGCCACCCACACGGATGCCTATCTAAAGCCTGATTCCCACCACCATCCCCAGAAGAATTCCCTCATCAAAACACTTACACCATAGGGTTCGTTGCATCTCCGACCACCACCACCTAGCCAGCGAGCTGGAGAACGTATTCTGACCGTGCAATCCGCATAGCTGTCTCCCCAGCCATGGGGAGACAACTACATCCACTTGGGCAATTCAGTCATAATTCCAGACTTCCTTAATTTATTTTGGAACGTAATTGCTGAATATTCAACGGAGCGTGTTATTTCAAAATCAAAGTTTGAGCTTTATTTTTAGATTCTTAGGTTTCATTATAAGTGTATATAAATGATGCCAGAATGTTTAACTTTTAATTGCATATTGACTGTTATATATGTAGTTACGATGTAATTATTACTGTTATATATGTAAGTGTGTATGTTATCCACCATTGTTAAAAAACGATTCGATTTGAGATCGAATCATTGCATTTTTTAAAAATTAACCCAAAACAATTCGTCAGTTACACTTTTTTAATACACTGTGATCTATCATATAACGCCTCCACTAACTAATTACAACGTTAGTTTTTCACACACGAGTGTACATCACTACACTATCACACATCGAGGCCTACGTCGAGGCCTACGTCGGGGCCTACGTCGGGGCTTACATCGAGGCCTACTTCGAGGCCTACGTCGGGGCCTACGTCGAGGCCTACGTCGAGGCCTACATAGAGGCTTACATCGAGGCCTACTTCGAGGCCTACGTCGGGGCCTACGTCGAGGCCTACGTGGAGGTCTACGTCGAGGCCTACGTCGGGGCCCACGGGGGCCTACATAGAGGCCTACGTCGGGGCCCACGTGGGGGCCCACGTGGGGGCCTACGTGGAGGGCGCTCGTAAATGGAAGCAGAACAATGAAGCTGATGGGCCAAACATCTCGTCTCTCCACGTCCACATCACGCAACTATTCAGCCTCGGCGCCTCCAGGCCGCACGGCCGCTGCTGCTCTGCTGTAGTACACACAGCTGCTGCTGCTTCGTGTATGACTCCTGCAACTGCAGTTGGGTCGGCTGCAGCTGCTACAGCAGCTACAACAACAACAACAGCAGCTGCAACAACAACAACAACAGCAGCTGCAGCAACAGCAGCTGCAGCAACAGCAGCAGCTGCAGCAGCAACAGCAGCAGCTGCAGCAACAACAGCAGCAGCAGCTGCAGCAACAACAGCAGCTGCAGCAACTGCAGCAACAACAGCAGCTGCTGCAGCAGCAACAACAGCAGCAGCTACAACAACAACAACAGCAGCTGCAACAACAGCAGCAGCAGCTGCAGCAACAACAGCAGCTGCAGCAACAACAGCAGCAGCTGCAGCAGCAACAGCAGCAGCAGCAACAACAGCAGCAGCTGCAGCAACAACAGCAGCTGCAGCAACAACAGCAGCAGCTGCAGCAACAACAGCAGCAGCTGCAGCAGCAGCAGCAGCTGCAGCAACAGCAGCAGCAGCTGCAGCAACAGCAGCAGCAGCTGCAGCAACAGCAACAGCAGCTGCAGCAACAACAGCAGCAGCAGCAACAGCAGCAGCTGCAGCAGCAACAGCAGCAGCAGCTGCAGCAACAACAGCAGCAGCTGCAGCAACAACAGCAGTAGCTGCAGCAACAACAGCAGCAGCTGCAGAAACAGCAGCAGCTGCAGCAACAGCAGCAGCTGCAGCAACAACAGCAGCTGCAGCAACAACAGCAGCAGCTGCAGCAGCAACAGCAGCAGCTGCAGCAACAGCAGCAGCTGCAGCAGCAACAGCAGCAGCTGCAGCAGCAACAGCAGCAGCTGCAGCAACAACAGCAGCAGCTGCAGCAACAACAGCAGCAGCTGCAGCAACAGCAGCAGCAGCAACAGCAGCAGCTGCAGCAGCAACAGCAGCAGCTGCAGCAGCAACAGCAGCAGCTGCAGCAGCAACAGCAGCAGCTGCAGCAACAGCAGCAGCTGCAGCAGCAACAGCAGCAGCAGCAGCAACAACAGCAGCAGCTGCAGCAACAACAGCAGCAGCTGCAGCAACAACAGCAGCAGCTGCAGCAACAACAGCAGCTGCAGCAACAACAGCAGCTGCAGCAACAACAGCAGCAGCTGCAGCAACAACAGCAGCAGCTGCAGCAACAACAGCAGCTGCAGCAACAACAGCAGCAGCTGCAGCAGCAACAGCAGCAGCTGCAACAACAACAGCAGCAGCAGCTGCAGCAACAACAGCAGCAGCTGCAGCAACAACAGCAGCTGCAGCAACAACAGCAGCAGCTGCAGCAACAACAGCAGCTGCAGCAACAACAGCAGCTGCAGCAACAACAGCAGCTGCAGCAACAACAGCAGCAGCTGCAGCAACAACAGCAGCAGCTGCAGCAACAACAGCAGCAGCTGCAGCAACAACAGCAGCAGCTGCAGCAGCAACAGCAGCAGCTGCAACAACAACAGCAGCAGCAGCTGCAGCAACAACAGCAGCTGCAACAACAACAGCAGCTGCAACAACAACAGCAGCAAGATGGCGGCGGCGTGTGCGGCCACGTGTGCGTTGTGCTGCATGGGGGTGGGCTGTGCGTGAGAGTGGGTGAGGGTGAGCTGCGTGTGAGTGAGCTGTGTGTGTGTTTAAATTTAGTGTTTTAAAGATGTCAATTCACCTGCTGTGTATCTTACTACTGTCCCTCCCGGCCATATCTAGTGCCACACTCAACTCTACAAATGGCTACCCGCGTTACTTCGCGTCAATACTTATTGCTAAATTTGCAACTACACCTGCTAATGAAACAACTTATAGACACTTCTACACTCCATCATTATATCCTTTTAAACCCTATCTTTGTCCCATTACTTCACCAGCACTCCTTCCAAACTTCATTCTGCTCTTAAAAATAACACCATCTGCGAGCTGCTGCTATTCGTCCAAGGTTCGTCGCTCTTCATCCTTTCACAGAAAATACCTGTGCAAACTATTAATTCTACTTTTCTTATTTCTGGGTGGTATTGAGCTTCATCCTGGACCAAATGTAAAGAACTCATATAATTCTGTAGATTTTTCTGGCAGAAAAGGTGTTGGTGTTCTACATGTCAACATCAGAGGGCTTTTGATTAAATTAAGTCAACTAAAACTAGAAGTAGCAAATCTTGACCCGGACATATTTTGCCTAACAGAAACATTTCTCACTCCTGCCGTCAATGACTTGCAGATTACGATTGACAACTACAATCTTTTTCGGCTTGACCGAGGATCTAAAGGAGGTGGAGTTGCCATCTATGTTCGTAATACTATTGCATGTTCACCAGCTCACTCCTTGTTTAAAAAATGTTGCTTTGAAGGTCTGGCTCTCAGAATAACTCTCCCTAATAATCAACACATATTGGTAGTGTGCTGCTATAGACCGCC